CAAAAAAAAAAAAAGTGACAGCTGAGATCAATTACGCACCGTGACGTCCAGACTCCAGAAAGCCATGGAGGAAGTCCTTTCAGACGCAAGACCCGTGGTTTATCTCTAGGTGGAAGTCCTGGTCTCAGTGAATATGCCCTGAGTCGCTCTGAGTGAGATTTCGCCCCGCCCGCGCACCCCCCCCCCCCCGCCTCCCCCCCGGATCATTGAATGAGGATTTTTCTTTTCTTTTTCTTTTTCTTTTTCTTTTTCTTTTTTTTCTTTCTTTTTGGACGCCAGAGCTGACCTTCTAGGGGGGGTGATATGTGCAGCCTCCCCTAGTAAGCCTGTTTCTGGCCGCACCATCTGTTGGTGGGGACTCTGGGGAGCATCACCTGCTGGGGACCGGTTCCAGCGTCCCTTAAATGCACGAAGAATGTGGACAAATATATCAGAATGGCAGCAATGGCTATGCTGAGAAAAACAGAGGGGCCTCAGGTCAGGGGGTTACTGAGAAATTGTGGAAATGAAGGTCATCATAAAACGCCACACCGCAGTCTGGTAAAGCCTTGCAGAGGCAGTCTGGTCAAGACCTGTCTCCCCCAATCGGTGTCTGATTGCAATTGGGCCAACTTAGCAAATGATCCATTAACTTAAAGACTTAAAGTAACAAAGAGGAGGAAGAGGGACGAGAAAGCGAAGTAGCCGTAGTCATAGTAGTAGTGGAAGTAGTAGGAGTAGGAGAAGGAGCCTAGGAGGAGGAGGAGGAGGAGGAGGAGGAGGAGAAGGAGGAGGAGGAGAGTCAGAAGACACATACTGTGAGGCATCCGACGTGCCAGTGACTGCTGCTACAGTGTTGTCCATCGTTGATGGTTCCGAAAAGGGAACAGGGAGAGGTTGGAGGGGCTGATGTCGATGCACTAAGTCCATGTCCGCCCCAGAAAGAACCAGGTCCAGCCGAGGGATCTAGGGCCAGGGTTGCCCGCTTGACCTCTGCGCCTCCATGGTCATCCACCATTCCACTTGGAGAAGTGACCGATTGACTGGAATGCACAGTTGTGAGAATGGTAGAACCCCCCCCTCTAGCACTTCCACCGCTGCCGCCATGCTGGGTGCTTCCTGAGCCACCCCCACCACTCCCTCCACTGCCACCTCCACTACCACCCCTCCCTCCACCTCCTCCCCCTCTTCCGCTAGGATTGCTTGTCAACGCTAGGGCTCCAATTGGACTCCCTCTGTAACAGGAGGGGCTGGATTGGCCCCCACCTCCTCCCCCTCCCCCTCCCATTCCTATGGGTGAGCTAGGGCCCGCTGCTCGACCTGCTGTTGTTGCATCCTGCGAGAGTCTGGATAAGCAGCTAGATACGGCGATGCCACTAGGAATAGGAGATGCAAGGGGAAGGGCCGGGGAGACATCATTACCACCTCTCACAGTGCACGGGCTGGGTGACCGCAAGCTGGACCCCACGGCACCTGGTCCTCCCCCCCCTCCGCTTACACCAACCCCACCTCCTCCACCTCCTCCTCCTCCCCCCATTGTTCCTCTGCCTCCAGAGGTGTCATCTTCTCGCTGAGTAACAGAGCTCGTTGGCGGAAACAGGCTTGCTGAAGCTAAGGTGTCCAAGTTCATGCTGGAATTCGGAACCAAGCTGCACCAGCGAGACACACAGTGCACGATCTGTCTCTTATACACATCTAGATGTGTATAAGAGACAGTGGTTAAGGTGGATGATTATCATTAATAACAGTATGATCCTGTCTGTTAGACCAAGTACGGTTAGGGGTAATAGGGGACTCTGCAGACTGTAGAGGGTTCAGCCTCCTGATGAGTTGGTAAAACTCCCATCCATCGCCTTTCGTCTTTTCTTCCCTCTCAGAGTCTGCCTATGGCTCACCGGTCGGCTCTCTCATATCTAAGAAAAGAAGAAAGGCACGCGACAGCTGAAAAACAAACAAAAAAAAAAAAAGTGACAGCTGAGATCAATTACGCACCGTGACGTCCAGACTCCAGAAAGCCATGGAGGAAGTCCTTTCAGACGCAAGACCCGGGCAGCGCATGCTAGGGGAAGTCCTGGTCTCAGTGAATATGCCCTGAGTCGCTCTGAGTGAGATTTCGCCCCGCCCGCGCACCCCCCCCCCCCCCCCCCCCCCCCCCCCCATTGAATGAGGATTTTTCTTTTCTTTTTCTTTTTCTTTTTCTTTTTCTTTTTTTTCTTTCTTTTTGGACGCCAGAGCTGACCTTCTAGGGGGGG